CTCAAAAAAAAAAAAAAAAAGATAAGCTAAATAATGGAAGTTTTCCATTTATTAATATTTTTTCAAACAACATAACAATAAAATATATAAAGAAAAAATTATTACAAGAAAGAATCCACATAGTAATGAGAGAACATAACTTTTCTTTTTCCATGCATGTGAAGGGAGTGAAGGGAAGAGGGAAAAAAACAGGTCCCCTTGACAGAGTCTCATCACACCAAAATACCCTTCCACTCCAGCCTTCCAGCCAGCCAGAACTGTGGGTGCACACAGTGTGTTTAGGGTGACCTAGCATCTAAACCCCAAGGGCTTTTCATATGGCTCCAATATGCCCTAATGCCTAGGCCACCCATAGGTGGGCCTTTTTTATTTTTTCCATGAAAACAGTGTCTCACTGTGACACTCAGTGTCTCACTGAGCCTCCTGCCTCAGCCTCCCAAGAAACTAAGGCCACAGGAATACACCATTCTACCCCAGCCTCTAGACCTTACCTAAATTTATTCAGCAAATATTTATTGAGCCAGATAATATACTAAAAGCTTTGACCAAGGGCCAAAGAGTAGTGTGGTAAAGGCAGCTGGATCCCACATGGCTGACAGTGCAGTTGAGTCCCAGACCCAGCAGTTTGAAAAGCATGCTGGGCACATATGCATGTGTCCCCAAAATCCTGAGAGGAGAAAGGAGAAGAGATTGTGGTGTGACCACCGCCCCCCAGGGGGTGCTTTCTTACTTACCCCCTTTCTCTCTTTGTCTCTGCAGTAAGTACACATTTCCCCTAGCAAATTACTAAAATGAAATGATGTAAATGTTTTGATTGATTAAGTAGCAATACATTATTGGGATATAAAATATTTATATAATCTTGATTTAATTAACATATATTGAATTTCGTATAGTATGGATAGCAAATATATTATTTTTAATACTATTAGGTCAATTTTAATAATCCAGAATCTATTGGCTTGTTGGAAAACTCATGATGCATTTTTGCATAGAAAAACAGAAGATTTGTCATGACTTTTTTGACAACCCAATGTTAAGCTATAGAAAAAGACTTGAGTAACTATAAAGTATATATTGTATAGTCATATTTTCAGGCCATGGAGAATTTAATTAATAAAAAATCTTGAACTTGGTGCACTCAGATGGTATGTTGGTTAAGGGCACTGGACTCCCACATGGCCAACCATGGTTCGAGTCCTAGACCTGGCAGCTTGCTTTCTCACTTTCCCTTTCTCTCTCTCTCTGTCCCTCTCTGGTCAAATTAATTAATTAATTAATTGATTGATTGATTTTTTTTTAAAAAAATCATTAACTTTTCAGAAAAAAAGGATTATTTTTAAAGTATTTCTCTTTCATGAGAGAGAGACAGAAGCCCCCTCAATGGGATCTCATGCCACAGTTCTGACTTCCAGCCTTTCAATCAGCCAGGATCTTGGACACAGGTGTTCACATGTACAGGTTGACCCAGGAACCAAATCCTGATCTTACAATGGCCTCCAGCATTGCAGAACATTGCATTACTCCTGTGCCACTATGACCGGGCCCAGAGAAAAATTTTAACTTGTAGTTGAACTTCGGTTAAAGAAGATAGTAAAACCCACAGTTACAAATGATGTAAAAGTTAATGACACTGAAAATATTTTTAAAGTTTTTAAATTTTATTCATGAAAGAGAGTATATGCACCTATACAAGAGATAGATTGAGAAAGAAAGAGAAGCATCTCAATGAAGTCTTGTCCCACCATGATCCCATTTTCCCAGCCCTCCAGCCCTCAGGATCTGGATGCACACAAATGTGCCCAGCCTAGGAATCTGAACCCTAGGCTGACTACATGGCCT